CCTGTGGCTACTGAGCACTTGACATGTGGATAGTCTGAATTGTGCTGTGTGTAGATGTAAAATACACTCAGATCACATTTTGATGACTTAGAATGAAAAAAAGCAAAATATCTCATTCAAATTTTAAAAATTGATTCCATATTAAAATCACATTATTTTGGGTATATTGGGTTAAATAAAATATATTGTCACGGTTAATTCCACCTGGGTTTTTTGCTTGTGTTTATTTCTGCTTTTTAAAGCATATATACTGGAGGGGAGGCTGGGTGGCTCAGTCAGTTGAGCATCTGACTCTTAAGTTTGGCTCAGGTCATGATCTCACAGTTTAATGAGTTTGAGCCCCGAGTCAGGCGTTGTGCTGATATTGTGGAGACTGCTTGAGAATCTCCCTCTCTGCCCCTCCCCTGCTTGCATTCTCTTGGTCTCTCTCAAAATAAATAAACTTTAAAATATATATATGTATATTTATTTTTTATAATATATATTTACTATAAAATATATATATATAATATATATTTACTAAAAAATATACATATGTACTAGAAAGTTTTAAATTACACATGTGACTCACATTGTATTTCTATGAGACTACATAGTCTAGAATAATTGTGTGTGTGTGTATGTGTGTGAGGAGGGGGGGAGAATGTGTGTACAACAAGCTGAAAGTACTGTATAAAAATTCTCATAGAAAACACATGGGTATCCAAAACACATAACCTAGTTTTCAGCTTACCACTACTCTAGCATTTAAAGGTTGCATTCTTTGTCAGAAGCCAAGGGTACAGAACCAGCAAAGGACTTTCCTTGGCTTTCACTCCAGTATCCTGGTGATATATTTCTATGGTTTTCCCACATGGTTTCCTTGTAAAAGTGTCTGGGGAAGAATCCAGACACTTTCATCCCTCCCAGAACATATGTACTGCCATATATGGTCATTTCACAGTCATTTGATCAAAAAGTGTTCTCCACTGGGGACACCCAGAACAGAGAAAGACAAAAAAACAAAAACAAAAATAAAAAACAGACAAACAGATATAATTACTTCCCAAGCACATAAAAACTACTGAAATTCAGGGACTGCATCAGTTAAAGAATTGGCCTAAAATAATAGATGCCAGATGTCCAATTGCATTCATTTTGCAAATATTTTCTGAATATCTAAACTGACACAAGGCCCCACAGTAGACACGTGAAAAGTGCAAAGATAAATAAATCAGAAGTTTGCTGTCTGGAATCTGGCCATCCAATAGAGGTGGTAATGATGGGTTCTGGGAGATTCTGAAAGGAAAACAGCAGGAGTCTGGTCTTGCTTGGGGCCTGGGGGTTTTATTAGCCATTGTGGTCTGGTGCAGCACACGTATCCTCTTAGGCACCCAGGAACTGGTCAGAACAAGGACAGGCTCCAGGTGTCCCTCATAAGTCGCCCATTTCCTGAAGCCAGGGGTCTTGGCATCAAGATGTTTGGAGGCAGTGGTCTTGAAGAACATTTATGGGGACCCTGCCTGGTCCCTCCTTAGTTGTTATCTGTTGTGATGGAAGATTCCAAACACATCATCATCTCTTTGTCCATTACAAGGCATATGTGGAGTGGCGTGGGGGTGCAGGTCCTACCAAGAATAGAAGCTGGAAAAGAAGCAAAGGAAAAAAAGCCAGCTTTTTCTCATAGGGGTCCCTTCATTTTCCCGTCTCAATAAGGCATGTCAACATTTCTTCGTTTTTAAATAGCAGAAGTTGGGGCACCTGGGGGGCTCAGTCAGTTGAGCACCCGACTCCGGTCATGATCTCATGGTTCGTGAGTTTGAGCCCTTCATTGGGCTCTGTGCTATCAGGGTAGAGCCCTCTTTGGATCCTCTGTTTCCCTATTTTCTGCCATTCTCCCACTTGCAACCACATGCGTATTCTCTCTCTCTCTCTCTCTCTCTCTCAAAAATAAACTTTAAATAAATAAAAAGCAAAATTTAATCCAGTATATGTTCCAAGAATAGTCTAAGTGAGCTCTTTATCTCATTTAATCCTCACAGTTGTATGAGGTTGTCCCCCATTTTACAGATGAGAAGACTAAGGCAAAGGACTAGGAAAATACTTAAGGTCATATGATTATTAAGTAGCACTGGCAGGTTTCAAACACAGAAGTCACTTCCAAAATATGAGCTTTTTAGTCATTATTCGATCTTGCTTCACTTTATTATTCTTTTTAAGATTTTATTTTTAAGTAATCTCTACCCCCAACATGGGGCTCATGACCCTGAAATCAAGAGTCATGTGCTCTTCCAACTGAGCCTGCCGGGTGGTCCTATCTTACTTCACTTAAAAAAAAAAAAAAAGATTAAAAAATAATGTTAGTATTTGCTTATTAAAAAACAACTGGATATACAGAAAAGTAGAAAAGAACATAAACCCTCAAATTCCTACCCTCAAAATGACAGTTGTTTAATATGTAAACAATGCTTTTTTTTTTTTAAGTTTATTTCTTGAGAGAGAGAGAGAGAAAGAGATACAGAGTGGGGAGGGGCAGAGAGAGAGGGAGAAAGAGAATCCTAAACCAGCTCTGCATTGTCAGCGTGGAGCCCAATACAGGATTTGAACTCACAAACTGTGAGATCATGACCTGAGCTGAAATCAAGAGTTGGACGCTTAACCAATTGTGTCACCCAGGCACCTTATAAATACTACTTTTAATTTGAAATATAATTATGTAGTGTAAGAAGGATATAGATAAAGGGCTACAAAAGTTCAGAGGAAAGAAAGAGGACTTCTGGCTGGATCTTGAAGGACAGGGTATGATGTGGATGTTGTGCATTCCAGACAGAAAACTTCAAGAAGACGGGTGAGGATTCAAGTCAAGGAGGTCTAGGGCTTATTGGGGAAACAGCAAGGAGTTGTTAAGGAACAGTGTTCATCTTGAACAATGAAGCTAGAAAACTAAGTTAAGGCCAAGTCATAGAAAGTCTAGAATTCCTCCACCTTACATCTTATCAGTACAGGTAATACCCCACTGATTACCATTTATTCCTGTGTCAATCTCTCCGATGAGAGTAGGAATTCCAGTTTATGTCCCCATTCATTCAATAAGTGTTTATTGAGTAGTTTCTGTGTGCTAGACACTGTGTTGAGCACTGGGGATGACCAGTGACCTAACTGTATCTCTGCCCCCAAAATAATTCACAGTCTAGTAAGAAAGAAAATATAAGACAGGTCAGATGGAAATATGAACAATATGGGTTTCTGTCACTTGCTAACAAAAAAGTGTGGCTAAAGCAAACTATTACAAAACTCTGGCCATGGTCTCCCCTTTAATGTGCTCCCAAATCTCACCTTATAGAAGCCAGATCACAGGGAGTAAGAAAAAGGTTTTTTGGTTTTATGTTTTGTTGTTTTGTTCAAATGAGGAGTCTAGTAAAATAGGCCAGATAGAACTAAGTGGCAAGTAAGATAAGGACTAAAAAATGTTCACAGACTTTAGAAACTAAGACACTGGAGAGCTTGAGGAGAATTTCTGCTGGAGTTTCAAGCGATGTGCAGAATCTGGGTGGGTGGGCGTTGAGGAACAAAGGGATGGTGATGTCCTGGAGAAGGTGAACTACACTATTATCGAACTGGAATCCCTTTTGGGTTGTTGTATTGTTCTCTGAGGGGCTGAGATAACTTTAAAGGAAGGTGAAAATAAATTTGTTTCAAATGACCAATAAGCACATGAAAAGGTTCTCAACAGTAGCTGGCAGGGAAATGCAAATCAAAGTCTACAATGAGATATCACTTCACACCCACTACTATGATGGCTATAATAAAAAAGACAATAGTAAATATCTAGGAAATAGTAAAGGATATGGAAATGTTAGAACCCTCAGACATGTGCCAGTATGAACGTAAAATGGTGCTGCCAACTCGGAAAACAGTTTGGGAATTCCTCAAAAAGTTACATGTATAGTAGTTAGCATATTACCCAACCCCTCCTGGGTATAATACCCAAGAGAAATGAACACATTTGTCCATACAAGAACCAGTACAGGAATGTTCATATAGCATTACTTATAAAAGCCAAAAAGTGGTAACAACTCAAATGTCCAGCAGCTGATGAATGGGTAAACAAAATAGGTATACTCTTACAATGGAATATTATTCAGCCATAAAAAGGAATTAAGTACTGATACATGCTACAATGTGGATGAACCTTGAAAACATTATGCTAAGTGAGAGAAGCCAGTCACAAGACCATATTTATATAATTCCATGTATGTGAAATGTCCAGGTGCAAGTCCATATGGAAAAGGTAGACCAGTTGTTGCCAGGGTTTGCCAGGAGGGAGAAAGAAGAATGATGGGTTTCTTTTTGGGGTGATGAAAGTGTTCTAGAATTAGAGGTGATGATTGCGCAACTCTGAATAGAAGAAAAATACCACTGGAGTGTGTATATATATATGTATGTATATATATATATGTATGTATATATTTTAATTTTTTAAATGTTTATTTTTGAGAGAGAGCGTGAGTGGGGGACGGGCAGAGAGAGAGGGAGGCACAGAATCTGAAGCAGGCTCCAGGCTCTGAGTTGTCAGCACAGAGCCCGATGCGGGGCTGGAACCCACAGACTGAGAGATCATCTGAGCCCAAGTCCGAGCTTAACCGACTGAGCCATCCAAGTGGATATTTTTATATTTTTGTATCTTTTTAAAGGGTCAATTTCATGCTATGTGAATTATATCTCCACTTAAAAATAAAACTAAGTTTTTAAAAATTGCAGCGCTTTTAGAGACCTCTTCCATAAAGAGAGAATAGGACGAAATCCAACAGCAACAACCCAGACCAAGCACAAGATCAGCCACTCTTCCAGACCACGGACCGCAACCTGACCACGCCTTCAGGAGAAAGCAGTCTCGGCTTGGAGACCGCTGATTGGCTGAGCTTTAGGAGTGGGCGGGGCGCAAAGGGGCGCGTCCAGTCCTTCTCGCAGGGGAAGGGCGAGCCGAGGCCTTCGCTCGCGAGATTTTGCTGGTTCCGCATTTCGGGTCGGCAAGGTGGGGGTGGCGAGCGCAGTAGCTAGCACCAGCAAGACCCCCGGCTCCGAGCAGCGGCGCTCGGTGTTTCCGCTGGCGGAGATCTGAGGACTGTCCGCTTCCTCGTGGTTCCCGCGCGGGCTCCGAATCCAGACCGCGGCGGGGGCCAGCGGCCCCTCCCCTCTGAGGATAGAAGATGAGCTTCCTCTTGTAAGTGTGGCCGAGCCGAGGGCCCCAGAGCTGAAGGCCGAGGGCAAGGGCGAGCAAGGGGGCGAGCAGACGCCTGAGGCGAGGGCCGGGTCCCGGGGTCGGGGTCGAAGTGACTGTCGCTTGCTTTGCCATCCCTCCCCCCACCCCCGCGGGCCACGAGGGAGGCCCGGACGTGGGCCCAGGCTGACGGAGGTGAAGGTCGAGGCTAAGGAAGCGGAGCTAGAGGGTTGCGGAGTAGTGAGGCCCCGAGGCCGGTAGTGCCTCCAAACTTTTCCGCCCGAGCGCCCCTGAGGGCGGAGGGATGACCCAGGGGCGGAGCCCCGAACCCAGTAGCTGGGCTCCGGATTCCTCTCAAGTCTGGAGACGTCTAGTAATGATCAATTCTGACTTATCTTTTTACTCCACCGTTTATCAAGTTTTATTATCTTCAGTATTAAATTACTCCCGTGGAAAAACACTGCCCCAGGAAAACGGAGAGTGCTGCAGTTGGGGAAGCTTGAAGTTCAGCCTTGCATGCAGACTTCCGTCCAATGCGGATTCAGCCCATTGTGACTTTGTGTAGATTTTATTTATTCAGTTTTAAGTAATCTCTACACTCAGCGTGGGGCTCAGACTTAGAATTGCGAGGTCAAGAGTGGCATGCTCCACTGACTGAGCCAGCCAGGGGCCCCCGTGACTTTGTGTAATTAACTTTTCCTGGGTAGAATCCTATTTTAGAGCTAACGCCTGGGGCCCAAATGGGTCTTAAATAGAAACTTTTGTAAATTCTCTGAGGATTTAAACCAAAAAAATGTTCTTTTGAGAGAGAAAGAGAGAGAATCCCAAGCAGGCTCTGTATTGTCTGCACAGAGCCCCCGACTCAGCTCCATCTCAAAACCGTTAAGATCATGACCTGAGCCAAAATCCAGAGTCTGATGCTTAACCAGCTGAGCCACCCAGGCGCCCCTCTAATGATTCTTAAGCATATTTAGGTTTGGGAAGCATTGCTCCAGCATCTTATTATTTTCAGGTGGCTCTCTCTCCCTGGTACATTACTTAAATGAGCGTTGTGTGATCGAGTAAACATCTATCGCCCACATATTTGATATTTTCATTAAATTTATTATTAAATTGTATACTCTTCTGTAACCAGAGTTTACCCAGTTCCTTATTGTGAGAATGTTTTGCTTTGGGAAGCAAATTACACTCAGAGACTGAGTTTGTCCTTGCCAGCAATTTATTTAACCTAGGTTTGCTGTGAATTTCATAAGCCAGTTGCATACAGGATAATGTCTCTTAATAAGCTAATGAAATACTCCAGATCAGTGATAGATTATTTACACTATTGTTCCAGGCAAGGGGAGATGAAAGAAATAAAGTCCAAGTTTCGTTGAGGTCTGTGTTTCCAGGAGTCAGTACTGAGGAGAGGCTTAGCCAACCCAGAGTTGAGGTCCAGCTGCCAGCACAAAAGTAAAAGTTCCTTGTTGCCAGGGAACGATGGCGCTGGTGTTGACCAGCTGGGCATTTGCTTGGCAGGGGCTAATTGCCCCAGGGTTTACAGACAGCTGTTTAGATCATCAAAGTGTCTCCTTGCCCAGCCCCTGCACTCTTGAGGACTCCTCACAAATTCTTGGTAATTGGAGTCAAAGTGTTGCTTCTTCAGAAGTTTTCATTGGTAAGCCCCAGGGGGGGGGGTCCCTGAGCAGCTGTACTGCTGAGTTATGGGTGAGAACAGATTAGATGATGAAGTCTTGACACAGTTTACTTTTTTCTTATATGAAAACACAATTTACTTTATTCTTGTCTTTGTCATAAACAACTGGGTTAAAACAAACTTCGCTTGAGTCATTAACAAGTGGATTTGAAATCTTATCAAACCAATACCCACCAGAGAAATTTGTATTCTGTCTAGTATTTTGCTGTTATAAAATAGCACTGTGGAGAATATCTGCTCAAATCGTTTTTCCCCCGCCTGCCAATTACTTTTTAGGTGTATGGTTTACACAGTATGATTACCATGTCTGAAAGTTTGTATGACTTAGATTATAATTGTAAATTTCTATATTACTGGAACAGTCTCTCTCCCCTCCTCCTCCAAAGTCTTTCTCTTATGAGTAAATGTTTATAGTTAGTGGTTTGTTTGTGGATGCTCAGTTGCTTAGCTACTTTTTGGATCTAAATGTAAGGCTGTTTCTTTCTTTTAAACTTTGTTTGGTTGACAGGCATTTGAGTTCCCACTTTTTGGCTGTTAGGAATAACTCGGCTATGAACCTTTATGTATGGATTTTTGTGTTAGATGTACACGTTCATTTCTCATTCTTCCTGAGTGTAGAATGAGGAGTTATATAGTAACTGCGTTTAACCTTTTGAGGAACTGCCACACTTTTTCAAAGCCCTGCACCATTTTGCATTCCCACCAGCACTGCATGAGAGTTTCAATTTACCCACATCCTAAGTAGCACTTGTTAATTGTCTTTTTGATTATAGTCATCCTAAGTGGATGTGAAATATTATCTCATTATGATTTTTATTTGCATTTTCCTAATGACGGTCAGCATTTTTTTTTTTTTTTAATGCTACTGGCCATATGTATATCTTTTTTGGAGTAATGTCTATTTGAGTCTTGTGATCTTTTTAAATTTTTTTTTAACTGATTATTCAGTTTAGAGAGAGAGAGAGAGAGAGAGAGAGACAGTGCAAGTGGGGGAGGGGCAGAGAGAGAGGGAGACATAGAATCTGAAGCAGGCTCCAGGCTCTGAGCTGTCAGCACAGAGCCTGATGTGAGGCTCGAACCCATGAGTTGTGAGATCATGACCTGAGCCGAAGTCAGCTGCTTAAGCGACTGAGCCACCCGGGTGACCCTCTTGTGATCATTTTTAAATTGATTGGTTGTGTGTGTGTGTGTGTGTGTGTGTGTGTGTGTTGTTTTTGAGTTGGAAGAATTCTTTATCCTGGATACAAGTCCTTTATCACCTCTATGAATGGCAAATATTTCTCCCATTTTGTGAATTGTTTACACTGTGTTGATGGTACCATTTGAAGCACAAAAGTGTTAATTTAGATGAAGATCATATTGAATCTTGAGACGTCATTTCATGTTAGTTTTCTTTTTCTTAAGATTTTATTTTTAAGTAATCTCTACACCCAATATGGGGCCAAACTCAACTCTGATAGCAGGAGTTGCAGGCTTTTCCTACTGAGCCAGCCAGGAGACCCCTTTCTAACATTATGCATTTGTAGAATGGGCTTCTGCTGTACATTTGGTCCTTTAATATGTTAAACTATGTCTTGAGATCTTTCCATGTGAATACATGTAGGTCTATCTTGTTCTTAACTACTCTATAGTATTCCATGTTATGGATGTATCATGATTTATTTATTCCTCCACCGATTAGCTTTAGGATTGTTTCCACTTTTTTCACTGTTAAAACCAATTTTGGGAAGCATATCCTTATCCATATCTAGGAGAAATACCTAGAAGTAGAAGGGATGGAGTGAAAGTACTTCCGTGTTCATAGATATTGTTATATTGCCTTCCCAAAATATTAACACATTTTACACTTACACCAGGCGTATTAAAATACTAATTTCTCTTTTACCCTAGCTCATACTTAATGTAATTGTTTTAACTTTTGACACTCAGATTAAGATCATAACACTTGCCCTATCCTTGCACTTTTCAGAGAGTATTTTTATTTTCAGAACAATTCATGTCCCTAAAATTATGCCATGCTGCTTTCAGTCCTAAAAATTGATAATACGTTTACTTTCAACCTAACAGCAGCAGCCGCTCTTCCAAAACTTTCAAACCAAAGAAGAATATCCCTGAGGGCTCTCATCAGTATGAACTCTTAAAACATGCAGAAGCAACTCTAGGAAGTGGGAATCTGAGACAAGCTGTTATGTTGCCAGAGGGAGAGGACCTCAACGAATGGATTGCTGTTAACAGTAAGTTTTTTTTGTTTTTTAACAAATAGTTTATTGTCAAGTTGGTTTCCATATAACACCCGGTGCTCATCCCCACAAGTGCCCTCCTCCATGCCCATCACCCCCCTCCCCCCCACACCCATGAGTCCTCAGTTTGTTCTCAGCATTCAAGAGTCTCTCATGGTTTGCCTTTCTCCCTTTCCCCCACCATTTCCCCCCTTCTTCTCCCCCATGGTCCTCCGTTAAGTTCCTCCCTATCCACCTATATGTGAAAACATATGGTATCTGTTCTTCTCTGCCTGACTTATTTCACTCAGCATAACACCCTCAAGGTCCATCCATGTTGCTACACGTGGCCAGATTTCATTCTTTCTCATTGCCATGTAGTATTCCATCGTATAGATAAACCACGTCTTCTTGATCCATTCGTCTGTTGATGGACACTTAGGCTCTTTCCATGTTTTAGCTATTGTTAAAAGTGCTACTATGAACATTGGGGTACATGTGCTCCTATGCATCAGCATTTCTATATCCCTTGGGTAAATTCCCAGCAGTGCTATTGCTGGGTCATAGGGGATGTTAACAGTAAGTTTTAATAACGTTCAGCTTTGCTGATTTTTAGGAACATTTTGCCAACATTTTTTTGTTAATGAATTTTCTTTATAGTTCTAACTGTTGTAGTATAATGCTGTACCTGTGAAGAAACTCAGAAGTACAAATACATTAGAAACTGTGCTGTTCTCTTCAGAGTACTTGGTTGTAACCTGTGTGGTTGAGTAGAGAGACCGGAGAAGAAATGTTGAGTGCTTTGGGGTAATTTCTCAGGATAGAATGGTATGAATTGCTGAGCAAGGTCAAATAAAAGATTGGAATGCTAAATTCTACCTGTGGTGGGCCATGACTTCTTAGGGAACGCATCTGCACAGCTGCACCCCCATTCCCAGCAGCCCTCATCTGCCTGCGTATACACAAGTCAATTGCAGTTCATATGGGCAGTCACTTGATTGTTGTGACTTAGGAGTAGTCAGAAGGAAATTAAGAGAGTGGGAGAAAACAGGAGGCGCCCATGAGCTAAAAGTCGCTCTTGAGTTCAAGATATGTACTGAGGCTAGAGATTTGAATATTTGAGCCTGTCATTTCTTTTTTTTAATTTTTTTTTTTTTTTTTTTTTTTTAATTTTAGAGAGTGCGTGTGTGTGAGTGGGGAAGAGGGGCGGCAGGGGAGAGAAAGAGAAGCTTAAGCAGGCGTCACCTCAGCACAGAACCCAATGTGGAGCTCGATCCCGGGACTCCGGAATAGTGACCTGAGCCCACCTCAAGAGTCAGATGCTCAACCAACTGAGCCACTCCGGTGCCCCAAGCCTGTCATTTCTTAGATCAGTGCTGGGTGATAAGGTTTAAATCTATTAGGAACTTGAGATGTTCCAGGAATTTTTAAACTTCTTAATGGAAAATTTCAAACATACAGAAGTAGAGAAACTAGTATAGTGAATTCCCAGGCATCCATTATCAAGTTTCAACAGCTGTCAATTCATGGCCAATTCATGCTTCTGTATCTCACCCTGATTATTTTTTTCTTTTGATATTTTCATTCCTCCCTCTCCAACTCCCTCCCTTCCCACCTCTCCCCACTCTTGTTCTATGTTTGGAGGCCGACCCACCTCTCCCTGATTGATTTGAAGTGAATCCCAAATATATTTCATCTATAAATATTCCATATCTCTAAAAGGCAAGAACATCACCTTTTAAAGATAATGACAGTACTTTCATTCCTTTATGTGAGTCAGTGTTTACATCTTCCCTGATTGTCTTATAAATGTTTCTTTTTAAAAAAACTTTTTTTTAATGTTTTATTTATTTTTGAGAGAGAGAGACCGAGCATGAGTGGGGGAGGGACAGAGAGAGAGGGAGACACAGAATCCGAAGCAAACTCCAGGCTCTGAGCTGTCAGCATAGAGCCTGACGTGGGGCTTGAACTCACAAGCTGTGAAATCATGACCTGAGCCAAAGTCGGGCGCTTAACTACTTAACCAGCTAAGCCACCCAGGCACCCCCCGCCCCTGTTCTTTTAAACCTTGACTCAAATTATCATCTGTTACTCTGAAGGCATCCGTTGGCTTTCTTTAGCCTTTGATTTTTGAGACTTTTTGCTTTAGGTCAGCTGTTTTCAAAGCTTTTAGTATCAGGATCCCTTTATTCTCTAAAAAATTATCAAGAACCCCAAAGAGCTTTTAATTATGTAGGTTATATCTAGTGATACTGTGTCAGAAATTGAAACTGAGAAGTTTTACATACTTTTTTAACTTTTTAAAAATAACCCATTGCATGTTAACATAAATATATTTTTATGAAAAATGACTGTTTTCCAAACTGAATTTTAGTGATAAGTATGGCACTGTCTTACTTGTTTGGAAATCTGTTTTCATGTTTGGCTTAATGGGAGACAACTGAATTGTCCTGTCCACTTGTGCATTCAGTCTGTTGTGATGTCTCCCTTTGGGAGCCTCTGGACAACTCCACTGTGCCTCCTGAGAGAATGAGAGTGAAGCGAGCTGTTGAAATGCTCTGACCTCACAGATGCCCCTTGAAACTAGGGGGGGATCCCTAGCCCACGTTTTGAGAACAGCTGCTTTAAACCAATAAACCAGCCTGCCATCTGGGCATACTCTTTGTTTTGAATGAATATTGAGTGCCTGTTACTTTCTTAGAAACATGACTCATTAAGAGGAAGGTTTATAATCACGGGAGTTTTATATAAAAATCCTTTTGACAAGGTGAAACTTTTTTATCTACTTGATTTTTAAGAAACTTGGAAAAGCCCTCGTTGGTTTTTAGGTACTCCTTTAGAAAGGGAACTGAAACATTTTTTAAAACTTCGCAAGGCTTGTGTGGGTTTTTTGCAGAGGAACATTTCACTCAGATAAGTTCAGTACTTACCCCTCCCTCCTCCATTTTCTTCCATATCTAGCTGAAGCCCCTGTAGGAAATGCTCTCTGACTGACTACCTTAGCCCCTCAAGATGTTGTCTTTTCTCTGGGCTCTTACATGTTGTACTCATTCTTTCAATTTTGTCCCTTTTCTTAGCCGGAGTCTCTGAGGCAAGGGGTATTATCCCATGTCCTTCTTATGTTCTCAGCATGCATTAGGCTTCAGGTTTGTTTTTTTTTTAATTATTTTTGGGAGAGCACAAGCGGGGGAGGGGTAGAGAAAGGGGACAGAGGATCGGAAGCAAGCTCTGCACTGACAGGCTGACAGCAGCAAGCCCAATTTGGGGCTCGAACCCACAAAGCATGAGATGATCTGAGCCGAAGTTGGACCCTCAACTGACTTTGCCACCCAGGTGCCCCTAAGCTTCGGGTTTTTTATATTTTAAAATGCCTGTTAATATAGCTGATACACCTTCTCCTTCCAGTATATTCCACAACACTTTCTCCTAACACAAATGGTATTGTCTGATCCAGATTGATAGGAAGCAATAGATTTTTTTATTCCCTTGGACATAGTCAAATTCTATATTCTAATGATCCAGTAGTCATCATTAAGTTACAATTATCCATAATGTTTTATTTTCCGGTTCTTCTATGCTGGTTAAAAACTTAGTATATTAAAATGAATGTTTATTAAAAGTTAACTTTATTTAAAGTTAAGTAAACAACTTGAGAAGAAACAACTTAAAAAGAGAAGAGAATTTGCATTATCCCTGGATTGTTGAATCTCCTGAGAATTTATTCAGGAACTTGAAGGCATTGTCATTTTTCTTCAGCTGAGAGGTCTGATGTTTTATTGTGTTTGCACAAACACTTTAACACAATTTTCCTGTTATCTTTCCAGCTGTGGATTTCTTCAACCAGATTAACATGTTATATGGAACTATTACAGAATTTTGCACTGAAGCAAGTTGTCCAGTCATGTCTGCAGGTCCAAGGTACATATACTGCCTATTACATAGGTATTCAAAGTACTAAATAAAGCTAACAACTAATTGATATAAATCAAATTATAAAGCTTTTTTGTTTTTCTTATCTATTTGCTTGTATAAAAGTAGTTCAGTTTTATGAGTTCTTTAATACTTATAAGCTTTTAGTTATTAAATATTTTGGTATGTGGTATTTAGTATTTAATTGCGTTATAGTAAGTAATGTTCAATTTCTTCTTGTCTTTATTTAGTGTTAATTACTTCCAAATTGTGCTACTTTAATTATCTGGCTTAAAGATGCTAGGTTTTAAAAGTCTGACTATAGGGGCGCCTGGGTGGCTCAGTCAGTTAAGCATCCGACTTCGGCTCAGGTCATGATCTCACAGTTCGTGGGTTCGAGTTCCACGTTGGGCTCTGTGCTGACAGCAAGCTCAGAGCCTGGAGCCTGTTTCGGATTCTGTGTCTTCCTTTCTCTCTGACCCTCCCCTGTTCACACTGTCTCTCTCTGTCTCTCAGAAATAAATAAAAAACATTAAAAAATTAAAAAAAATAAAAGTCTGACTATAAGGCAGAGAAAGACAATGTTTTTCATATGTTTTCACTCATATGTGGAACAGGAGAAACTTAACAGAGGGCTATAGGGGAGGGGAAGGGGAAAAAAAGGGAGGGAGGCAAACCATAAGAGACTCTTAAAATACTGAGAACAGACTGAGGATGGATGGGGGTGGGGGAGAGGGGAAAATGGGTGATGGGCATGGAGGAGGGCACTTGTTGGGATGAGCACTGGATGTTATATGGAAACCAATTTGACAATAAACTATATTAAAAATGAATAAATAAATAAGTAAATAAAAGTGACTATAGAGGCACCTGGGTGGCTCAGTCGGTTAAGCATCCAACTTTGGCTCGGGTCATGATCTCAGAGTTCATGAGATCAAGCCCTGCCTTGGGCTGTGTACTCTCAGCGCGGAGTCTGCTTGGGATTCTCTTGCTCCTTCTCTGCCCATCCCCAGCTTATGAATGTGTGTGTGCATGCTTGCTCTGTCTGTCTCTCTCAAAATAAACTTTTAAAAAAAAGTTTGTAATAAATTTCAAGAAATATTAAGAAACATGGAACTCTTTATCACCTGTAATGTTAAGTCAAGGTGCAGTGGGATTAACGTTTTAGTGTGTTTCTTTCCAGTCTTTTTTTCTAATAATAAATGACTGTTTTATGTGATGATAGAGGGTATCGAGATATTTACCCCTTGGAAAAAAATTGTCCTTCCTTATTTGATACAGGTATAAAGGGAAAAAAAACCCAAATGAGTTTGTAGTCCTATTTAATAATTTTTTATAAATCTTTATTAATTTTTGAGAGAGCGGGGGAGAGAGAGACGGACTACAAGTGGGGGAGGAACTGAGAGAGAGGTTGACACAGAATCCAAAGTGGGCTCCAGGCTCTGAGCTGTCAGCGCAGAGCCTTACACAGGGCTCGAATTCACCAACCGTGAGATCATGACCTGAGCTGATGTCAGAAACTTAATTGATTGAGCTACCCAGACACCCCAAGTTTATAGTCCTATTTTTAATTACAGTATTTTGGAGGGATGTTTTTATTAATCATTTTAGCTCAGCAAAGGGAGAAAGAGATGCATGCCTGACAGTGTTCTTTAGTACCCTCTCCAAGAAACAGTCTTAGTATCTTGACTCTGTTGTTGATACTTTGATGGCCAACTATTGCAGAATGGGTGTGGATGCATCAGTCTGTTATGCAGTCCTCAGCACCCTCTGCCTGGAATGTTAGTTCCTTTATCTTTCCTAGGGCTATGTTAAAAAAAAATCCATTCTGGCACTGTCAGCTGCCACATTATCCTCCTTTTCTCTTTCAATTGTAACTATCATATTTCAGGATAATTCTGTAGGGAACTTTAAGTAATCTTCAGTAGAACTGGGAGGTAATTTACTAAAGTTGTATGTGACATCTGTTGAGAAAATGTGGACCTACTTTGATTACAAGTTGTACATTTGGTAATGTTTTTGAAAACTCCTATCAATAAAACATTTTCTCCCCAGATATGAATATCATTGGGCAGATGGTACCAATATTAAAAAGCCAATCAAATGTTCAGCACCAAAATACATTGACTATTTGATGACTTGGGTTCAGGATCAGCTTGATGATGAAACTCTTTTTCCTTCCAAGATTGGTAAGTTATAATGTTGAACTGTTTTTCTTTTTAACTGATAAATGCGTTGCATGTTCTTTTTAATACTCTGTTAAAAAAAAAGTAACAAAGACTGCTAGATTCTTCTCCAAAAAGATTGTACATGTAAACTTCCTCCAGTGTTGTTTGTGTCTGCCTGTGTTTCTTCACTAATACTTGTTGGCTACTCAATTTTTATTCCTTTCAATTTGGGTAGACTGATTTGGTTTATTGATCATTGTTTTTTGTTTCTATCCTTTGTCCATTTCTTTGTATGGTAAGGATATTAGCTTGTTGTTGTATATGTCGTATGTATTTTCTCCCAAGTTGCCTTTTGTCTAATTTTGGAGGTATTCTTGGTCTATGTAACTTTATTTATTTATTTTTTTTTTTTAAAGGTTTTATTTATTTCTGAAAGAGAGAGACAGAGACAGAGAGAGACAGCATGAACAGGGGAGGGTCAGAGAGAGGGAGACACAGAATCTGAAACAGGCTCCAGGCTCTGAGCTGGCAGTCAGCACAGATTCTGATGTGGGGCTCGAACCCACGAACTGTGAGATCATGACCTCAGCCGAAGTTGGATGCTCAACCGACTGAGCCACCCAGGCGCCCCGTAACTTTCTTATTTTGTCCTATTGATCTTTTCCTTTAAAGTGTGGATTTTAATACAGTGATTAGAAAGGTTTTCCCTATTTCAAGAAACATGTGTCCATGTTTCCACGTAGTACTTTCGTGGTTTTGTTTTTATGTTTAAATCCTTGTTCTTGCCAGAAATTTTTTTCTCAAGTCTCCCTCCATTTTTTTCCAGTTATAAAGGCTAATCAGGGGCGCCTGGGTGGCTTAGTCGGTTAAGCGTCCGACTTTCGCTTAGGTCATGATCTTGCGGTTCGTGGGTTTGAGCCCCGCGTCGGACTCTGTGCTGACTGCCAGCTGAGAGCCTGGAGCCTATTTTTCGGAGTCTGTATCTCCCTCTCTCTCTGACCCTCCCCTGCTCACGCTGTCTCCCTCTCCCTCTCCTAGAAAAAAAGAAAAATTAAAAAAAAAAAAAAAAAAGGCTAATCAGTTTGTCCAACACCATTTATCAAATACATGTGTCTTTTCTCCCCAGATTATCTTATGTGTACACCAGGTTGCCAATATAATTTGGAGTCTTTCATTCTCTTTATCTGTTCCTATAGGAATTCCACAGTGTTTTAATAATCATAGCCATAGATCTTTGAGCATCTTGTAGGGGTAGTCTCTCTTCCTTGCTCTTCTTTTTCAGAATATTCACAGCTATTCTGGGATATTTGTTCTTCCAAAGAACTTAGAATCATTTTGGCAAGGTAAAATAAAAATATTTATGAGATTTTGATTATTATTTCATTCATGTTGTAGATTAATATAGGCAGTCTTGTTCTCTTGACAATACTGAGTCTTTCTACCCAAGAACAAGATATAGTTCTTCATTTATTCATGTCTTTAATTTCTTACTCTTACACAGTTCTGTAGTTTATTTTAATCCTTCAAGTTCCTTAAGTTTATCCCTAGACATTCTGTGTTTTTATAATTGATATCTGCCTTCCAAATATTGTTTAGTATATAGGAAAGCTGTTGGTTTTCATATAAATTTTTACATAAATTGACCATCGATTCTGATTATTTAGTTGTTTTGGGTTGGTTTTCTTCAATTTTTGAAGTATGCAATCACATCATATTAAGATAATATTAATTTTGCCTCTTCCTTTTTGATACGGATGTTTCTTACGTAACTCTTACCGAATTGCCCCCGAGTAGTGCTGAGTAACAGTGATGATGGCAGACATCCTTTTGTTTCCTTACTTTGATGCAAGTGCTTCTAGCACTTCAGCATTAAACAGGAATCTTGTTTTTGCTTAGAGGTGTGGTGAATTTTTAAAAATAGTTGTTACCTTTTATGATATTTTCCCAGTGTCTACTGTTGGTCACCATAAGGTTTTCTCTAGTATATGTATATTTTTAATGTTTTACTGGAATCGTGTTTTTTATTTACTCATATTTCGATCAAGATTTTGGCATCACTGTTCATGAGTTTACTGCTTGTCATTTTCAGTTTAAGAATGTCTTATGAGCAACAGGTTGGATTCTGTCTTGTCTGTTCTGCTGCAAATAATGAGAAATTTTGGCTTATGAATAACAAAGCTACTTTTCAGTTCTAGAGGCTAGAAGTCCAAGATCAGGGTGCCAGCATAGTTGGGTCCTGGTGAAGGCCCACTTTTGGGTCTCAGACTGCTGACTTCTCACCTAGTCTTCACATGGTGGAAGGGAACCAGCAAAAGTTCTTTGGGGCCTCTTTTATAAGGGCACAATCCCACTCATGAGGGCTCGGTGCTTGTGGCCTAATCCCTCCCAGAGTTCTGCCCCCTAATAGCATCATCTGGGGGTTAGGATTTCAACATAGGAATTTTGAAGGGATACACACACTCAGATCATGACAGATTTCCTTTTTGCAATCTAATCAGTGGTTCTTTTGGGGGAAAAGCTTGTTATCACGTTACACCTGGTCTGTTTGCTGTTGGCCAGCCTTTCCATTTTATTATTAAACCTTTTATTTCCTCTCTCACTGATTCTTTATTGTATATTGACTGTGCTCGAATGTTTCTGTTAAATTCAGCTTGGAAAGTGCTTGGTTTGAAACAAATTACTTACAGTTCTTTATTCATTAGAGAATATCTTCCCATTTATGGAAGACAAAAAATACAACTTTATTCTCTTTTCTCAGCTTTCTATTCTTTAGTAACTTGGCCTAATGTTCTGGAATCCTTTCTCCCTCAATTAGGCTGTTATCCACATTTTCTGCCAATAATTGGATAGGATTGTTTATTTCTCATTTTGAACTAATACATCCAAATTATTACTATTCCTCTTATTAGCAAGATGCATATTTGTAAATTCTCAGAAAGGAGTTTGACTTAAAAATCCATCTCTTCAATATGGGAATACAAGACCCAGTCCAGAAAAACATGCCCACAAGCTCCAGGATTATGTCTGAAAACGCAAGTTGTTAGGGGCACCTGGCTGGCTATGTCAGTAGAGTATGTGACTCTTAATCTCAGGGTTGTGAGTTCAAGCCCCACATTGGATCTAGAGCTTACCTTAAAAAAAAAAAAAAAAAAAAGTTTAAAACAAAATGAAAATGCAAGTTGTTAGCCAAGACTGATGGGGCAGAAACCAGAAAAATTAGCTTGCAAGAGCAAAGTACATTAAATTTCAGGCTATTAGGGACTGTTTGAGAAATAATATGCAGGAAAGGAAAAAGTGTTTTCACCTTTCTGAAAGATTGAAGAAAGGAAAATGTTTCTGGACTAGTGTTGTGGAGTAGCCGTTAAGACCATCTGTTCTAGGTTATTTTGAAAGCTGATAACTTCTTACATGTTTATGTACTGTACCCGTGCCACTGTATTGTCTTCTGTCCCTGTTTTAAGACTTTGGTCTTGTCAGGTGGAATTCTCAGGAATTGAGACACACCCCCACCTACACTGCTTGGAGGGACATTGGCAAACCATATCTCAGTTCATTTCTAAGGAAGTGTTCATTTTCTTTGCAAAATGGTGAGGTGTCCTTCTTCCCTTTTCAGGAAGTGTATCTGTCTTGTACTAGAGGGAAATGAAAATAGCACTTTGAAAAGATAGAATCAAAAGTTGGGGACTCCCAATTTAAGGAAGAAAACTAGTGTTTCAGAGTAACTCAGAAGATAAAAATACTTTATTTGTAGACCATAGATTATAATGCCTTTTTCTCTTAGAATTTTCATTCCTAGTTGAGTGTATGTGTGAATATAAAAATTTTTTAGAGTTACAAATTACAAAAATAAAATTTTTTATTTATAGTCAAAATACTTATTCTTGTTACATTTAATCTTAGGAAGAAACTCTAGTGTTAAATAGCTAAAATTATGTTTATTTTAAATTTGATTCAACAGCACCTCATAGACTTGGTGTCTATTAGTCCAAGGCAGTCAGAACAAGTGTGTTATGTGAGGATACCTCATATTTGTTTGGGTTTTTTTTTACTTTGTCTTTTAAAAAAATATATGGAAAACAGGCTTATATTTGTGAATGTGTATGTATTGGAGTTGCATATGGCAGTTTCTAAACTTTCTGCTGTTCAGTTAGATAAAAGACCAATTGACATATATATATATGTATGTATGTATGTATGTATGTATTTGCTTACAGGTGTCCCATTTCCCAAAAACTTTATGTCTGTGGCGAAGACCATTCTAAAGCGCCTGTTCCGGGTTTATGCCCATATTTATCACCAGCACTTTGATTCTGTGATGCAGCTGCAAGAGGAGGCCCACCTCAACACCTCCTTTAAGCACTTTATCTTCTTTGTTCAGGTAAGTTGAACCATGTTTATTTCTTTGTCCTTTGTCTTGGACACATTTGATTGGTAATTTTTTTTTTTTAATTTTTTTAAATTTATTTTTAGGAGAGAGAGAGACAGCGTGAGCAGGGGAGGGTCAGAGAGAGAGGGAGTCACAGGCTGAAACAGGCTCCAGGCTCTGAGCTGGCAGTCAGCACAGAGCCCGACGCGGGGCTCGAACCCACGAACTGCGAGATCATGACCTAAGCGAAAGTCGGACGCTTAACCGACTAAGCCACCCAGGCGCCCCTTGATTGGTAATTTTAATAAAGAGCAATTTTTAGAGTTGTCTAATTTATAGACATAGAGTGAAAGTATAAGCAGGATTCTCTCTTTTCTCTTTTCTGGGTTATTTCATTGGTGTGCATAGCAACATAGGAACTCTTCCCTCCCCCTTTTCGGGCCTTCTGCCTCTGGCTCCCCCTGCTGGGTCTCTGGTTAGGGTGTGACAAGGAGCAGCAGAAACCCAGGACAGCTTTCCATACCCTCCTGTTCCATCGCCATTGCCGAGTGAAGGGAAACTATGAAGAAACATCTGCAGTTGGGTTGTTTCATGAGATGGCTGTGTCTGGAAGAAAAACTTTTGGAAGAACTTGTTAGCTCCTCTCTCGGTTTAAGCTTCCAGAAGTACCATTTCAGGCCAAGTCTTATGAAGTCATCAGCTAGAAACTTCAAGAAGGACCACCCCTTTTAGGGATGTGGCCTATTACTTATGGGCCCTTAATTGAAATTGGAACTTGTAAAAATCAAAATAGGGGCGCCTGGGTGGCTCAGTTGTTTAATCTTCTGACTCTTGATCTCGGCTCAGGTCATGATGTCACAGTTCGTGGGGTTGAGCCCCACATCAAGCTCTGCACTCACTGGGATTCTCTCTATCCCTTTCTCTGCCCTTCTCCTGCTTTCTCTCAAAATATATAAAAAAGGAGCATTTAAAAAATAAAAATAATTCACATTGTTTGAAAAATATATTAAGGCAGCTTTAGAGACATATAATTCTGTATGCAGAATGCTAGACACTGTTTTTTGGTAGGAAAGCCAGTAGTTTTTTAGTAGATCTTGCGTATTTCTTTCATAAGTGCCACATAAAGGAGAATGTCCTGTGCTCTTCTTGGTCTTCCTTCTGAGATTGTTGCACAGCAGTTATTACAGGTCTAGTCTGGTGCTGATACAGATGTAGAGGTACAGATAGAGGGTGGGAGTGTAGTACAGCTATAGAATAGACACAGACAGGGGTGCCTGGGTGGCTCAGTCAGTTAAGCGTCCGACTTCAGCTTACGGTTTGTGAGTTCAAGCCCTGCATCGGGCTCTATGTTGACAGCTCAGAGCCTGGAGCCTGCTTCCGATTCTCTGTCTCTCAAAAATAAATAAACATTAAAAAAAAAAAAAAAAGACACCATATAGATGTAGGTAGAATATAACTCTACGAAAGAAATAGATCCACAGCCCAGGAGGTAGCCGCTATCAAAAGTTCATCCTATAGTTTTAAGATCATTTCCCTGTAAATGCAAACATAGATACAGTTTTGATTTTAATGTTTAACTCATTAAAAGAATAATGAGTGAAGATCATGCTAATACATCCAGTTGTTTATTTAGTCAGTCTTCCTATATTTAAAAAAAAAAATGAATAAAAATGATACCATTTAAAAATGTTTACAGGGGTGCCTGGGTGGCTCAGTTGGTTGAGCGTCCGACTCTTGATTTTGGCTCAGGTCATGATCCCAGGGTCGTTGGGATCGAGCCCTGCATCGGGTTCTGTGCTGAGTATGGAACCTGGTTGGGATTCTCTGTCTTTCCCTCTGCCCCTCTGCCCTGCTCGGGTGCGAGCACACTCTCTCTCTCCCTCTCTCAAAAAAAAAAAAAGTTCACAGAGATGATTTCATCATTTTTTTGGATTTCAGAAAACTAGGGTTAGGAATCCCTTCTCTGACATTTGTGGAGTTTTAATGTTAGATATGTTTTTAAATTTTGTTTTCCTTCTCTTTTTTAGGAGTTTAATCTGATTGATAGGCGTGAGTTGGCACCTCTTCAGGAACTAATTGAGAAGCTTGGATCGAAAGACAGATAAATGTTTCTTCTAGAACACAGTTACCCTCTTGCTTCATCTGCTAGAACTCTCTCATTGCTATCTGTTATAGACTAGTGATACAGACTTTAAGAGAACAGGATAAAAAGACACCTGTTGTTTGTATCTACTGCTAAAATTGTCCCAAAGGTAGGTTGGCCTAATCCTTCAGTGAGAAATTCAAGACACGCCTGAATCTGAGGCACTATGTGACCACTCCTGTTATTGTCAGAGTCATACTTGGTTGTAATATGTGATGACTAACATGTAGTCTATTAGTTTATTTATGTTTTTACTGAAGACAGTGTGCTTCAGGTAACAGCATAATGCTATTGAGAATTCCCAGCAATAATTTATTAACAGGTTTCCAGAGCAAATTACCTAATAATGCAATCAGATCAGTTTTATTCTGCTTTTATTTACAAACAGAAGAGTTTTTTTAAGTTTCCTTAAGATTTAGGACATTTGTGTGTTACTTTGGATATCCTTTTAGTTTGAAGTTTGTATGCTAGTGTTTTTATAGGTTTTTATATATTTAGAATATATAGATGTGTTTATTTTTTCAAAATCCATGGTTGCATTTTAAATCTTCCTATCACCTGAGTGGTTGGTATGGGAGTAACCAGAGTTATTTCTAAAATGACTTTATTTTTTAATCTTTATTTGGGATTTTATTTACATAAACCTGTTTAAATTTTTAGGAGTGTGTATATCAGAAATAATTTTCTTAAAGCATGTAAGGATAGTCTTTTGCATTTTTATTTTGAAATGCTTCATTCATTTTAATTTGAATAGGTAGCTTATGGCTGAGAAAAAGACTGCAAAAAATTATAACAAATTTAGGTCTCAGAACCACTATTCTCATTCATGTTTTTCAGAGGCCTTGAAATTCTGGATAGGAGAATGGAAGAAAGTACTCAGAGTACTTGATTATTTTCTTTTGAGTGTCCTTTAAAAAAACAAAAAATAATTACTTCTACATGTTTTTATTGTGACTTGAGACTTAGTTCAGAGTAGTATAGAAATACCTAAACTTTATCCCAATAGGGGTAAAAGTTAGGGAAGACCATAATAAAAAACCTTGAAGGTGTACACATCTTATTTTATAATGCAGTTTAAGTTTGGTGTGCTACCTTGTGTGTGTGTGTGTGTGTGTGTGTGTGTGTGTGTGTATGTGTGTTTTGAAAGGAAACAAAATGGGAGGAATACGTAAAAAATCTTACTTCAAGTAGTCCAAGGATGGATTGAGTCCTCCTAGGGGTTTAATCCTGTTTTAATTGTTTTTGTATCAAAACTTGAAATTCTGTTGGGATAAAAAGAATCTTCCCCTTTAGTGAAATAAAGGCCGTTAGGTTTCTAGGATGTAGTGAACTCCAGCCAGACCAGTGCTGCTCTGAGTTCGTCTGCATACTGGATTTCAGAGCTGTGATTTTTGCAGAGTACTCACCAATTCCCTTGATGGTTTTGATGAAAGGTTAGATTTGTTAGGGTTTTTTGTTATTTATTTTTATTGTCCCACTAAAGTATAAAGAATTGCTTAGGAACTCCATTTTTATAATAATTCAGTTTCATATCCAGATATCCAGAATTTTAAAGGAAATAAAACATTTCATCTATTTTAGGCTGAAACCATACATCATTTCAGGAATTAAGAAGTGAGATAATGAATCCCTCATGAAAAAAAGAGAAAAGCCATCTGAAACATTCCACAATCCATGTTTTAAGCTTATCCAAAGGTCCCTGTCAGGTGTCCTGTGTGTTCATGTTAACAAGAAAGCAGGTTTCTAGATGCCACCTAGAACATTATTGCCTCTCAACTTTGGCTTTAATTAAGTCTTCAAGGAATGAAATTATATTTCTCAACTAGGGTTGTACTTTTCATCATTTCTAATATTTCATGATTCTTAAACAAAAGAGTTCTCCCTTTTCTCCATTTATTTTCAGTGCCAGGAATCCGCCCTCTCTTCATGACTCCCTCCCAAAGTGAACCAAAGGTGGTCACACGCTAGACATAAATAAAAAAGTTATTGCTAATTTAAGATTCAGAACGTCCTTTTTAAAAAAAAGAAAAACCGTTACCAGGCTCCCAGGCTAATCCAACAATGCACCTAACCATGAAGTTAACACTGATTTGTTTACATCTAAAGCGGGGGAGTAGAGGGCAGGAAGACCGGAGAATGGGGAGAGGATGAAGCCCTCCTCACTGGGCTAGAGGGCCAGCATTTGAGAAGCGTTGGAAGAAATCAGTCTGTCTCGGACTCTTCTCTCTTGTGGTTTATCTCCCTGTGCCCAGGGTCTGCCTGTTCTACATCAGAGGTCACCTCCTGTCGGTGTCTGCTGCTCCTCACCCTTGGGTAGTCATGGGGTGGAGAGTGCTTGCTAAATCACGCAGGTTGTCCTATGGCACTCTCATTTCTGGGCCTTTAAAAAAACTTTTGGACGATGATGTCCAGGTCTTTGTTTAAATATTGAAACTTCCTTGTTACTATGGTTTTTGTTTTGATAGCCAAAGGTATCTATCCTTTCTTCTCCAGACTGTGAATAGAGTGATTTTAGAGGGCCACCAGCTAACAAAGTATTTCCTTTCATCTTAGACTTGTAGAGCCCTAGCTTCTGTAGCTACCTGCTTGAGAAATGCAAATCTGTGCTTCTTCATCATGCCTTTGATAACAAAGCGAAAGCTTCCCTAGTAGGTCAGAGGCATGAAAAGCAGTTGGTTGGTGCTTTTAACTTTTGCAGACATTGTTGAGGTTTTCTGATTATAACATTGACTTTTCTCTGTGAGCAGTGGGGTTGTACTAGAAGTGGAGCTTCTAAACATAACATCATTACCTCACCAACAGAAACAAATCAGCCCTGAAGAGTACAAGGCTCAGAAATCTGTTTCTGAGCGGCAACAGCCAGGGTTCTGGTGTTAGACGCCTGGCTATGGGAGGCTGTCTCCTGGCAGCACAACTGTGGCCTGAAAAATGCTGGCTGAGACCCCAAACACTGAGCACCTTCAACAGAGATGTTATTTCCTCCTGGAATTAGTTCAGTAAGTGGATTTGGTTTTTGCTGTTGTAGAATCCTGTCAGAGAGGGAAGATGGTTGTCCCTCAGTCTTCCTTGTGTGTTTGCGTTAGCTTTTGATATTTCAGGCCATAAAAGGCTTTTGGGGATGATATTACATGTGATAGCAGTGACTTTATTGGAGCGACTGCATTGAAATTCACATGGATTTTCTCATTCTCAGATTCTCTTCCAACAAGTGTTATGTAAATCCAAAATGGATTACCAGCATGCTGTAGGTTTTTTATAGAACATTCTATGTTTGGTCTACTTCAGAAATAGTTTGCATAAGTTAGTCTTGGTTACCATCTAAAATATTTTTAAATGTTCTTTACATGAAAATTTATGTTGTATTTTTAAACCTTTAGGGGCTTTATCTATTTTTCTAAGTCAGTTAATTGTACTTTTAAAGAAAGTATTTTGTATCTACTTTTGTAATAACTTCATCAGAATAAAATATATTAAAAGAAATGACTGATTACAGTATGTCTTAACACACATTTTTATTTAAATGTAAAACTTGAGATTTTTGCTTCTATGGATGGAAGGTTGTCTTTTGCCTATTATTTAGTAACTAAATTGTTTCCTTAACTCTTAGAAGAAAAGGAAGTCCCTAAATAAATATTCTATAACACCAGGGCCCCACCCCAAGAAACAAAGTAAGCCTATGATTACAAGTGGCTGAAACCTATCCCAGACAAAAACATTAGTAGTCTCCTTTCTCCTGAGCTAACTTGAGCTGGGACTCCTGGTTGTGAAATTGAGAAAAGGGAGAGGAGACAATGGAGTGCTGATTTTCTGACCTTGAACTGAGTGTTAAGCATATCTGTAAGACATCGCCCACCCCAAATAGCCAGTTTTTGTTATTGTAGGAGAAATATTAGAGTTCTTTTTAGAGGTCCAAATTACAGGTGCCTAATTTTAATTCAGAACAGCACTGCTATAATTGTTTTGACCTTTTGATTAGAGTTAAAATTTAGAAGTTAATGTGGCTAAATAATATGGGTTGACGTTCCTATTTTGTATAAAGTGTAGATAAGCTATCAGTTTTCGATTTCTTTTTGATAGTTATATTTCAGTAGTAGGATTAAAATCGCTCACAAAAATTTAAGAGTGTCTAATGGCTAAGTTGTAAAGCTGTTTTAAACTTTATAAATGAGTAGTAGAACAACCCAAATAATCTTTGAGAGGGCCAGAGTTGGGCTTCAAAGCTACACAGCAAAGAACAATGTCTAAACCATGCCGCGGGCCTCTAGCTAATACCACATTGCTGAAGGGCTTGGAATGGACGCTATAGCCTGCACCATTATTTCTGGCCACTAGATGTCAGTCTCTGCCTCAGTACCTCCCAAAAGCTAGAGTCCTCAACCCTGACCAAAATAAAGGATTTTACCTAAAACCATCTTCATTTTGTGTGTCTTCCTAATAAAAAATGTACATGGGTGACAAAAAACCAAAAACATACAGGTGCCTCAGATTGGCAGATCCTAAGTCACTTATCTCTGTCCTGGCTGCAAGAGAGGCTAGGGAAGTTTCTGGATTTTACTTGGTTTAGGGCTCATTGTAAAATGGATGCTGGATGTTCCAAAAGCTTGGACTGGCTCCTGCTCTGAACTTTTTGTTCCTGTTCTATGAAAAGACAGGGAGTTTTTTTTTACTAGAATGTAAGTGTCTGGGCACACTGTTTAGCTCAACTGACATTTTTTGTAGTGTGTTTGCTACATGAAGGAAGCCCAATATTGAATTCTGGCCAAGTTCTTTATCTCATGGTTGATGAGTGTTTTGAGTACTACTTTTTAGGGGAACCTACCTGTTGAGGGGAATCCTCCAGCAGGTCACCTTACTTAATCCTTAAGCCACCTGGGAAGGGGGTTGCAACTGAGAGGTGTGTTAAGAATTTTTCACTGTTTTTCAGACGGTGGCACAAATGCTCTGACTTCAAACAGCTAGGTCATAACGAGACCAGCCTGTTTCTCTAGGGTGCATTCCATCTGTATAAATTCTGTTTGTTCATGGGTGCTAGGAGACCCTATAAGACAAAGTGACTACAATTTAAAACCATCCTATGAGGTAAAAAAGCTGTATTCAAAGAGATCTGTCTGGAAGAGTTTTTTTCCAGTTAGCTCACATGTAACTAGAAGTATGAAAGCAGGGAGTAATCATGGACCAGTATAAGTGGAGATTAGAGGATCTCAAGTTCAGGGCAAAAAAAAAAGGTAAAATGGGATATACCCATTTCCTGTGACTAAAGCCATTATACTTTAATCATAACAAAGTAAAACTGGCCTTTTACTCACTTCTATCATAAGTTATACTTGAAATGTTAAGTTGGAACTAATTTGGAAGCCCAAGATTGGTGAGGTTCCGTAAATCCTTTCTTAAAATGGTTCAAGTTCGTACACTGTGAACCTAGAATGGCCAGGCCACTGTCAGCTCTCTTCAGTTATCACAGCATGTCCACTTTTTGTCCAATGTCATGCTGGGTGACAGGTTGACAGGACTAGAGCAAGATCCTGTCGTGGAGCTCAGGGACCATATGGAAAAACAGACACCTACATAAATCGATCGTTTTCAAGGGCCATATGTGCAGTGCAAGTTATGCACAAGTTGTGCATAAGTTTACTGTGGGGCAATCAGAGGTGGCTCCCTGGAGAAGACAAGGCTTGAACTGGCTTACAAGATGGGTAACCGCATAACCAAGCTTACATGTAGCATGGCTTGTACAGAGAGGTACAGTGGTCCAGTATTACTACAGGGGAGATTTCAGTTGAACAGGTAGGTAGTGGTTAAGTCATATAAAAGACCTTGGGTTTTTGCCAGTAGGTGATGGAGAATCTGAAGGATTTTAGATAAGCAAATAGTGGACAGATTTTCACTTCAGTGGACTCTGATAGCAGGGTGGAAATGCCAAGGGGAGGGTACTAGGGCAGTGAGTCCAAAAATATAATGTGAGCAATTGTTAAATTATAAGGAAAAGGAAGGTTGGAGATAAGCAAAAGTACTGATTTTTCAGTAAAGGAAAGAGGAATTCAAATAGAAATCAGTGAGTTTAAGTTCAAGGTGGGTCTCTTACAAGTGGCAGACCCAACTAAAATTAGTTTAGTGCTAGTTTCTTGCACTGCTTGACAACGCCAAACATCTGTCTCCCTCCAACTCTACTGCATCTACATCATTTCCAAAGTGGGTGCTGCCCACATGATTACAAAGATGGCAGCCAACTGTTAACAGTTTAGCAACTCAGTGGTAAATGCCCATTTCTTAGTTCCAGACCAATCTCTAGACCAACTCTCACTGGTCTGGCTGGGATCATGCGACCAACCCAAACAAATCCCTGTCTGACTGGCCAGACCTGGGTCATAGGCCACCCCTGGAGCTGGGGATAGTTTGGCCTCATTTGAACGATGTGGTTTGAGGAGTAAAGGGTTCACTACCAAACTGCTGGGGAAAATATTCTGGGTAGTTTTAATTACACCGGCTAAGAAAAATGAAAAATGAGCAAATTATCTAATCCCATGGGCTGCTAATCCCACCAACCATGATTTTTAAGGAATCAAGCAAAATATGTGAGAAAGGTTATTATAGTAATCTAAAGGAGAACTTATGAGACCCAAAACATAGAAGTCAATACTGAAATGACTAAGTATATACCTAGGTGATCACTTTAAAAAGCAACTGTAGGTCTGTCCAACTCACCCAAGTGTGACGCTGATCATAATTGATTGCATAGGCCAGAATGCAATAGCAAAAAGAACTAGTAAAGCCTGGAGGGTATACCAGACCACATGCTACAAACAATTACTGCTAAAGAGAAAAAGCTCTTGGTTGAATTTTGGCTTTAAGGTCTGTCTGAATTATTCCAGAAGTGGGGCATGGTTGCTGGATAACCTTACCCATCCACAAGGAGGCAGCTTCCACTGCATTCTCTGGAGTCTGCGGTCTGTGGCTCCAGCCTACTTCTCTGCTGGGCCGTGTCCTGCAGGCACCTCGAAGCCAGGAACATCCAAAACGGAGTTTGTCCGCCACCTTCACCCCAAACCTAGCCCTCCTCCACTCACTGCACTGCCCCCGCCCCCTCACCCTCGCCGCCCAATCCAGTCACTCCATTCCCTTCCCTTCCCACGTATCCTACATCTCTGCTGCCCCAGCTCCGGCTGAGACCTCACATCTCATCTGGGCCACCGCGGTAGCCTCAGAGCTTCTGTCCTCGCTTCCAATGTCCGCCCCCTACAGTCCCTCCTCTTCCCTGGAGCCAGAACGATCTTTCTAAAACTCAAATCTAAAAACGACTCCCCTGCTGAGAGCTCCTCCACGGCTCCCTTGTTCTGGAGGGAGAAACTCACACTCCCCAGTTTGGAAGCCGGGTTGCGGTGGGGACGGGAAGTGAGGTGTCCGCGCGAGGGGTAGAGGCGTGAGGGCAGCTCAGAACGGAGGGTCGAGAACCCCAGGCGTCCCCAGGCTGGGCAAGAATGGCCCGCTGGTGGACCGGGACCAGGAAGCAGGAGCAGCACGGAGCTGACCAGGCCGGGGAGGGGCGTGACCCTGCGGAGCTGCGGGTTCCGGGGAGGAGTCCGCGGGGCGCGCACGCGGCCAGGCCGGGGCGGCTCGCGGCCTCCGGGCGGCAGGGGGCGGCCTCGCCAGCGGCGGCGGTTCCCGGTCCCGGGAGCTGCGTCTTTCAGGGGACGCGGCGACCTCCGGCGGCGGGCCGCGTCGGCCGGGCATGGCGGCATGGAGCCCGGCCGCGACAGCGCCTCTGCTCCGCAGGATCCGCGGGGTGAGCGCGTGTGGGGC